GGGCGAGGCGGTGCCGCGGGGGCGTGGGCGCGGTGCCAGGTCAGGGGGGCCGGCGGGCTGCGTCCCGGCTGCCAGGGAGGGTCCGTGGCACCGCAGGGCATTGCCACGTCATTGCCGGCCAGCCCACGTGCCCCCTGCCATGTGGACCCCCGGGGACCCGGGCGGCAGGGTTTGCCCCGGCGTAGCACCCGGATCAGGGGAGCCTTGTGGGTCCCCGGGCAGGACGGAGCAGGCAGGTGCTCCCAGAGGAGCGGGGCGGGCACGCGGGGTTTCTGCCCGCGCCGGCCACGTGGCCTTCCACCCTCCAGGGCTGGGACGCTGCCTCCTGGCAAGCCGCCCCCGTCCCCCCCATGCAGCTGGGATCTCCCAGGCATGGCAGGGTCTGGCCTTCGGCATCTGTCTTTGCAGGCATAACTTCCGCCACGTGCCAGCCATAGCCCCGTCCCGCCGTGCCAGTGCTCCCGCTGGCACTTCAACCCCGGGGGCTCCTGGCTCTCCGCTCAGGGTCAAACCTATTGCTCTATTTGGGGTCAGGGAGGAATTTTACCCCCTGGTCAGATTGGTTTGGACTGGGGGGGTTGCCTTCCTCTGGAGCCGGGGGCTCAGCCCTCTGCCTGGGATCTCTCGAGCATCTATTAACAATCTTTTATAGAAGCATTGCATTGACTGCCCTGGGCCCCCTGCTTTACCCGTGGTGGGGTCGGGTGTGATGTTGGGAGGCTGCAAAGGGGACCGATGCTCCGAACTCCTCTAAGCCCTGCACGATGATCCCTTTCCGGGGGTCTCCAGTCCCAGAGCTTGATGCTCGCGGGGACCATAGCCACAGAAGGCCACGCAACTCCATTAATTGGCCTGCGGAGGTGATGGCAGGGCTTCCCCAAGACCCCAGGAGTGGCTGTAGCTCCCAGCTGTGCTCCCCCTTCCAGCTTCCAAGTCTGCAAGGATGGAGCATTTGCTCCTGGACTCGGAGTCTCCTGCAAGGTGCCCAGCCTCCACGTGGGCGGGCACGCGCTCTGCATGACCACGTTGGGGAGTGACGGGCACTGGATGCCCCAGAGATGATCTTGCCCTCCCCAGGACATCTGGCCACCCTGCCATGATGAGTGTTCATTGCCCAAGAGGGGTGAGGGCATGGTTGGGCAGAAGAGCTATGGGGTAGGTTCCTGGGGCCTTATACAGCTATGCAGGGAGCAGTGAGCCCTGGTCTTACGGTGTCTCTCCCATTGCAGATGGCGCGCCCGATCCAGGTGAAGCCAGCGGACAGCGAGAGCCGTGGAGGTAGTTGTCATCTCTCCTTGTTCCCCCTCCCTGTGGGTTTGCTGGCATGGGAGCTCCTGGTGCCTGCTAGGGGCACTGGCCTGGCCTGGCGGGGCTCCCTGCCCTGGCACCGTGGGCTCTGCATTGTGGTGAAACACTCTCCCCAAGCACCCGAGGCTCAGTCAGTCTAGCTGCACCAGTCTTGGCCCCGGGCAGGGGCGGCCGTGCTTTGCAACGGAGCTGGACATCCATGCTGGGGGGCAAGGCTGCAAAGGAAAGCAGGGAACTGGATGCATGCACCCATCGACTCTCACCCACCTCTGCAAGCTTACACCCAAATGTCAGGCCTCCACGCTGCCTTGGTGTGTGTAGCTCCTGCTCTCTTCCCTGTCCAGCCTGCTAGCTCTCTGCCTGGCACTGCCCAGTCTGTACTGCATGCCCCCGCCTGCCCTGCACCGCACTTGCCAGCTAGGAAGATCCCCAGCTCCTGTTGTTTCCCCTAATGCCCACCCCCTTGATTTTTGCATCGATCCCTTTTCCAGCCCCTGCTAAGGGGCAGCAGCGGAGAGGGGACGCGCTGGGTGCGGTGTCGAGCTGCTACGGAGGCACTGGCAGCCTTGCTGGCTTTCGTGTGCCAGCAGCTGCATGGATGAGGCAGGCTGAGCTGGGGCATGTGGGGATCTGTGTTTGTTCACACCGGAGATCGCACCAGTGGCAGACGGGGGACGTGTGACCCCGGGCGCTGCCCACGAGCCCATCCCATGTGTTGCTCTTCCTGATCCAGCTGGCGCGTTCCTTCCCGCATCTCGCCTGCCTGCTCTTCATGGCTTGCTGCTGCCTTCTTGAGCAGTTTGGGGGAGGTGATGCTGTGGGAGGCTGTTTTCCTCTGTTTGGTGGCACATCCCAGGTACCGCGCTGAGGCTGTGATGGTTCCACAACTTTGCTTTTAATTGCCGGTGATTATTTCCCGGCATTTTGCTTGTCCTGATACTCAAGTTCTGCACTAGCAGGAACCAAGCAAGTTCAATGTTCAGGAGCGTTTACTCCATTTACCAGATTTTCTTGCGTGCAGCACACACTCCCGCACTCCTCGAAGCTGCTGGAAATTGCCGTGCGTGTTACATGCAAGAAATACGGTAAGAACAGTTTTTAGGGGCCGGAAGGGACCTTGCAGGTCATCGGGTCCAGCCCCCCTGCACTTGGGCAGGAAAGACGGCCGGGGTCGGATGACCCTAGCAAGATGGGCATCAAGGTGCATATTAGATTTCAGGGCATGTTGTATGTGAAAAAATACAGCAGTGGCTGGCTTTTCCAGGTATGCTTCTGGTAGCACCTGTTAGGTTGTGGGAGCCTAACTCCCTTGGGCTACCTTGGGGGAATCCCTGCTGTCATGCCTCTGGGAAACAAAGACGGGATTTTCCAAAGCCTTTGATGGGTCACTAGGCAGCTTCTGAAAATCCCGTCCCAGGCTAGTAACAGGAATGGATTCTGGTCCCGAAGAGACTTCCTTATTTTTTAAGCATGGTGGACTTGGGGGTTTACTCCCTCAAACGTAGGTCACGGACCCCACATGCACTTAGGCAGGCGCGTAACGGCGCTGCCAACCAGCACCGCAGCGTGTGCTCCTGTACTCCCATAGACGGGCTCCCCAAAGCATCTGCGTGCAAGATGCATGGGGATGCATGAACACACGTGTGCCTGCTTGCACCAGTACCACACACACGCACGCCAGACAAAAAGGGCAAGCTGAGATCCATTTATTAAGCCCTCCAACTCTGTTATATCTCGGTATATAGGAGGATATCACTGTACATTAATTCCCTGCCATAATGGAAGCACCTTGGAGGGGGGAAAAGCTCTCTTTTCCAGCCTGTATTGCATACCTGAGCTAGCAAACCTCTGCAGATGGAGGCAGCCTCTGAGCCATATGCTGGAGCCCTGGAGAAGGTGGTTCATACTTCGCCAGCCCTTCCCCTCGAGCTGCCCAGCGAAGGACAGCAAGGCACTTAGCAGGGAGGAAAACCGAGAGCGATCGCAGATCGTGCAACCCCGATTGGATCCGTCTGCGCCCCGAGTCTGCAGTCTGATGTCTGTACGCCCCCTGTCCAGGCAGGGTTGAGTCCCATGGGTCCGGCCGCAGGACCGGGGCCCCCGGGAGGCGTCTGGACTGGCTGGTGCCCTGCTTGGGGCAGGGACCGTACATCTGCAGAAGCACCGTGGATGCAGCAGCGGCTGATGAAATAATAATCATAATTAACGTCCTCCTTTGCCCCTTGGAGAGCCAGGGGAGCCGTGCCACTGATTAGCCGTGGCATCGCCTTCGCGGCTGCCAGCAGGGAGCGGCTCTTGCCGGGGGACGGGACAGCGCAGCGGTCTGGCATTATACACGCGGCTCCATCGACTTCAGTGAAACCAGTTTTCTCGGGTCCATCAGAACGAGAAAGGCCATTGCATTCAGGCTGTTAATTATTGTCATCTCCCCCCCCACCCCCCAACACATACCAAAATGAACTTTATTATATTTAAAATAGCCAGGCTTTTCTTCATTATTGATCATTAGGCTCTTACCCATCTGGAGAAACTTCTGTCCCCAAGCGTCTCTCCCTGCCAGAGCTAGGAAAAAGGAGTCGCACACATACACTCCCAAGAAAAAGCATTTAAAACACATTTGTCCCTCCTCCTGCCCAGCAAAAACAGTGAAAAAACGGCATTCTTTTTTCACCCACGCACGGGAAATTCAACAAAAGTTTTCGCTTTATTTTTTTTTTTTTAATGCAACTTGATTTTTTTCAGCTGAAAGAGTTTTTTCTATATTCCATTTTTTGTCCTGGCAAAAAAAAAAAAAAGATCCAATGAAGGGAGAAAAAAAATACTCAACCGGCTTTTATTTTTCCAAGCAGACGCCTCAAGAAGGTCACCAATACTTTCCTGTGGAGGACATTTTAAACCATTTGGAGGGGAAATTTGAAGAAATCTGGGTTTTCTAGGCCTTTGTATTTGATTTGAATGCTCCCCCCCACTCACTATGTCTGTCCTGGGCATCGCCACTGCAATGCACCCACTTCTGGGGTTGGAGCAAGCCAGCCTGGTGCTTTCTGCTGGGACGAGAAGAAATCAGTACTGAGGCCTGTGAGAAAGGAGAGTTTGCACTGAAGCCTGTGCGTGCAAGGCTGCCGGAGAGGGGGCTCACACTCAGCACCACGCGCATCCATCCTGCCTGGTTTTATTTAAGTCCGAGTCCAGTCTCCACTGACGGACCATTGGGGAGCAGCCTTGGGCTAAATAAACGCCTCCCCCGAATTGTGATCTCGGGACGGCCCCGGGCCATCCACAATCCCTAGCACCTGATGCTGCCCGGTCCTCACAGCCCACTCCCGCTGACCAGACAGTCGCAGTCTGGCCGTGTCTCCAGCCGCCAGGTCTCAGACGGATGCAAGGTCCCAGTGTTTGCTTGATGGGCTCTGCGCAGCCCCGAGAAAGTCCAGCCACCAGCAACAAGGCTGGGACAGCAGCCCCTGGACATGCCCTGCGCCGTGCAAGAGCCTGGGTAAGGAGAAGAGAGCGAGCGCCGAGCACCACAGGGACTGGGCTCCATCTGGCTTGATTATTTTCTTCCTCAGCTTCAGGGTAGGGAGAGCATCTTGCATTTCCATAGCAACTTCCAGCCAGCCGCCTGATATACCGGGATCCATTCGCTCGCCCTGGAAATGCAGCCGGTGCTAGGGTGGAACGTAGCACAACAGCCGCCCCAGGGTTTTGTGGAAGGGCAGCTTCGGGGGCCAGCAGTGTCAGCTCTCGCTTCCTCTTCGTCCTGTGGCTGCGTCCCACCTCTTTGCTTTTCTGCGGGGAGGTGAGTGCCGAGCGCCGTCTCGCTGCTTGGGCTAGATCCGACGGGCAGATGCAGCCAGCTCTGGGTGAGAACAGCCCTGCGCACCCTCTCCCACCCACCCTGTGCTGGCGGCTCCACCCCAGCTGGGCAACGGAGACCAGAAACGCATCCGTTGCAAAAAGAGGCTCCGAGGCCTCTTCCCACCTCCGCCGCATGCCAGGTGCAGCCGTGCCTCGGAAATGATTCGTGTTCCCGGTTCAGAGCCGAGGCAGCGGGAACCGGGGACGTAGGCTCTTGCCCTGCTCGCTGCCCTCCCCTCTCGCCCAATGACCCCCGTGCCGGCGGGGCAAGGAGAACCACGCTGCCCATGTGCACGTGGCAGGAGGTGGGCGCACGAATTGGGGTGGTGGCCTGGGAGCCAGGAGCTCCTGGGTAGGGGGCTCAGACTGGGACTGGGCCTCCGTGGCGCTCGGTGCTGTGCATACCTACGCCGCCCGCACCCCCAGCTCCGGGACTGGCTCGCTGGCATCACGGCGCCGCTTTCCGAGGTGCGAAACAAACCCGAGCCCCCCGGTTATTAGCACGGAGGACGGGAATGAATCACGGGGGATCCTTCCCCCTCGTCGGCTGTGAGCCAGACTTGGTGGCGGGGCCACGGGGATCTTTCCCCCACAGCACGCGGCCCTCTTCCTGCTCCCAGCATAGGGTGGAAGGAGCCTGCTGGGTTTCCCAGGAGCCGCGGCTGCTCTGAGCCGGCAGCAATAGCTCTCCCGAGCCCATTAGCATCGTATTAGCGCCGAGGAAGCGCCCAGAGATGTATTGTGGGAAGCATCCCGGGCAGAGCGGCTGTGCCAGGCAGGGGCTGGCCTCCCTCCCCTGGCTGCCAACAGCTGGCTGCCCAGATGACCTAGTTCTGGTGGGCCGCGCGTGTCCGCGGCCCTGCTTCTTTCTCCAATGGGCGAACCGCTCAGCCTTAAGCCCCCCTCCGCCATTCTTCATCATTGCTCCGTCAGGGATCTGCTCCCTGCCTGGACCCTCCTTCCCCGACCCCCCCGCCTGGGTGCGAGCGACAGTCTGCTGGAGCCCGGGTTTCCATGGGAACACCTCTCCAACAGTCGGGGAGAAGAGACAATTTTCGTGGTGGCTGGACCGCGTGGGGAATTGGCAATGGGAGCTGGAGGGATGGGGGGACTTGCATCTCCCCTTGCAGCAGCTGCCCGACGTGGCCGCGCTCCTGCATGACGCTGGGATTCAGTGCCAGGAGCTCTGCACCCCCCCCCAGCACCCACCAAGGGGCACAGGGGCTGCAGACCCCCCTATCCCTGGTGGGGGAGAGAAGGAAGAGGCTTGGGGGCAGAGAAAAGCAAGAGCAGACAGTCTTGCCAAGAAAAATGCAACGGAGAATACAAGCCTCGCGTTTTGGAGCCGGGGGTGGCTTCGATTCCCCAGATATTTTTAATCAAAGAGACCCCATCAATGCAAAAACCCTCCAAATGATCGGTGTAAGCAGAGAGACATTTGGGGGGGTATTTAAAACCTCTCCCCAGTTTGTGAGCTGGACTGCTTGGTGGAAATGACGGTACACTTTCCTCGGGGCTGCTATACCTTGCTATATTGCCAGTGCCCGGATTACATCATGAATTAAGACCCCCCCAAAAAAGTATTCACAAATGAATAGATGGTGAGATCTGATTTTTTTTTTTTTTTTAAATACCCTCCGGTGCTCAACTCTTCACGTTTTCAAGGTTTTCTGTGCACCTGGCAGGGCTAGATTGGAAAGGCAGAACAGACGGGGAGATGCCCATACAAGCACCCAGATTGCAGCGGAAAACCCCAAATATCCCAAGGTTTGTGATCTCCTTGCCATAGCTGCTGGCACGGCGCATCGTTTTCATGGGGTTTTATCCCCCAGAGTGACAAGGGAGACGCGGCGTGGCCGCGAAGCCCCAAACGCTCTCCAGAGAAGTCGGAGTCGGATGGAAAATCTGCAGCTCTTTGCAACCGCTTTCTACCGCCGGCTGGATTTCACGGCGGCGGCGTTCCCCTCGAACAATACTTCTCATGGAAACTAGTGGCCTCGCGGTCCCATCATCTGTGCAGAGGACTGAGCTCCTGCTCCCCGTTGCAAGGGGCAGGCTTTTTACCCAACAAGGGGCACGTCAGCAGTGCAATGATTTATCCGGCATCACCATGCAACGTCCCGCCCTCCCCAAAAATCCCTCTTGCAAAACTAGTCCAAACTGCCCATCTGTCTTGCTAAGTTGAGGCCCTGAAAAGATTCCTCCTTTCCCAGGTGTTTCTCTGGTCCCTTTTGACCCCCTCGGGGCAAGAAGCCGCGCTTTGCGGCTGCAGGCCGGGGTCGGATGGGATCCGACAGCTCAGCTTAAAGGGATTCCTTCAGGTCAATTTGACCTTCCAGTTGAGTTTTGTTCGAGGATCAGATTTTTGTTTCCAGTATCCAGGATTGATGGAGCGACTTCCCTGATTTATTTCCTGCCTGTGCCAACCCAGTCCAGATGCTGCGTTCAAGCAGCACCTGGCCATGTTGGCAGCCCCGGCACTGCTGCATTTCCTTAATATCCCAGTCTTTTCCATTCGTGTCATCATCTCTCCTTGGTATTTCTTCTCCCCCAGACCCCCTCTCAGTCTTGCCCACCTGTTTTCTGTCTGAGGCGGGGTGGGGGCTTCATTGCCACGTGTCTGCACAGCGCCAAGGCCCGGGGTCTGATTCTCCTGGCCTTGCCCTACCCCGAATAACCAGCGACCGCAGCACGGTGGGATGGACCGGCTGCTCCACGGGGCAACGGCCACGTTCATTGTCACCGTTCAGATGCACAGAGATGGTGACAAGTGTTTAAATGTGCACAGTTTTAATAACCTGGAGAATCGGGACCGGTGCCAGCCAGGATAGGGGCATAGTCTCCAGGGGCTGATGCGAGCACGCATCGGGGGTAACTCAGCCCCGTGGGTTCGAACCCTTTTGATGTGGCGGGTCAGATGGGCAGATGTTCGCTCGGCCTGGCCAACCCACGTGGGTGCCACCGGAGCACGTGTGTGCAGGCGTGTCTTTGTGGGCGCTGGCCTGCCCGTCCGTGTGCGCACGCTCATGCGCCGGCCGGCCGTGCGCCGGGAGTGCGTATCTGTCTGGCTGCACGTCTCTCTCTTCCTCTTCCCCCCCTCCCCTTGCTGCATGCGAGCGTGGCTCGGAGGGCATGCGCGGTGGCTGGAGTCGCGGCGTGAAGGCATGTGTGAGCCTGCCATAGCATGTGTGTGTGGGTATGTGTGTAAGCACCGTCCCCTCCCCCATGCACACACGTGCCGGCTGGCCTGCCCTTGTGCTGCACGTGTCTCCCCTGCGTGGTGCACGGCTGGGTGGGTTACCTGGCCGGGGAGCAGGGAGAGGCGGTGGTCGCTGCCTGCAGTGCGCAGGCTCCCCCCAGCCCGCTGTCGCTCGCAGACCTGTTGGTTTTCAGGTCACCGCACTCCCGCGCAGCCTCCTCGCCGTCCTCCCTGCCGCCCGTCACATTCGATCGGCTCTGCGAGACGCCGGCCCCCCTGATCCTGTCACTAGCAATAAGGAATCCTCCCTCGCCGGGCCTGCCGGACCCCGTCCTGACGCACCCGGTCCCCGCGGGGCACTTCTCCTGTGCCCACGTGTAGGGGAACAGGGGCGGGTGGCACATTTTCTTGGCACGACTCTCTAAAGGAGGCAGGACCGGGCTGTAGCGCTGTACATGTGACAGTATAGGGAGGCTGGGTCCCACCTCTGAGAAGAGAGTGGGGTGTAGTGGGTAGAGCAGCTGGGAGCTCAGGTTAGGCACGCATGGGTGGAGAGGAGAAGCCTAAGGCCTCCACATGGTGTTGCCTGCACCCAGGCAGCTGTGCGCACACGCGATCCAGCTGTGCACTGCCAGGCTGGCATGTGGGAGTGTGACATGTGGGCCCCCGATTCCTCGGGGGGTAAAACTGTGCCCCTTCACGTGTCCGCAGCACTGAGGCAGCTCGGCTGGCGTGCCCCTGTGCCCGTGGCCAAGCCCTCTGGCTTGTACCGTGGCTGTGGGAGGCCGCGACATAGAAGCCAGGATGCCCGGGGTCCTTCCCTGTCCCTCCGGCGGGAGCTATTCCAGGAGCCTCGGTGGGGCAGCGCCAGGGATGCGTTTCGGCCCTGGGAGAGGAGCTGGCCAGCGGGCCGTGTTCGAGATCGGGCTCCCCAGCCCTCGGTCTTCAGGCTGCGCGTCTCGCAGCAGGTTGATGTTTCCGTGTTTCCCGCAGGGGACAGGAAGCTCTTCGTGGGGATGTTGAACAAGCAGCAGTCCGAGGACGACGTGCTCCGGCTCTTCGAGCCCTTCGGGGTCATCGACGAGTGCACGGTGCTGCGGGGACCCGACGGCAACAGCAAAGGTGCGGGTTCGCGGGTGTCTCACGCCTGTCCCACAGGTCGGACCGTCCCGCGCCAGGAGCACGTGGCGGCGGGTCTTCCTCCCCGATGGAGGGGGCTGTATCTTGGGGCTGGGATGGAGCTGTATGCTGGGGCGGGATGGGAACGGACGGAGAGGGAGCGTGCCAGGCTGAACAGAGAAGGGCCTGAGCACCAAAACCCACACCTGGGATTCGGGATACGTTTGCCGGCGGGGCTGTGAGGGCTCCCCTCGGCCCGCACTGAGATGCAGACTCTGCCCCTAGCCCGCCCTCACCTCCCAGCTGCCCCCTTGCTCTGCTCTCACCTGCTCCTGTCTCTCCAGGCTGCGCCTTTGTGAAGTTCTCCTCTCACACCGAGGCCCAGGCGGCAATCCACGCTCTCCACGGCAGCCAGACCATGCCTGTGAGTATGAGGCCGCGGGGCCCCGTCCCCGTTACGGTGACTGCTCTCCATCCACCTGCGGCTGAGACTTGCCACCATCACTCAGCCTCCATGCGCGCTGTCCCGGGGGGCTGAAACGGGGGGGTGCGTGTGGATTATTTCTCTGCCTGTGCATCTCGTTGTTCGCTCCCTGTACATCCTTGCCATCTGTCACCTAGCCGCTCGTGTTCATGGGTCGTTTCCGGCAGGGGGTACGACTGTGAGCGTGCATGGGGGGAGGACGTGTATGTTCTTCCGGTCTGTCTAGACGCACGTAGTTGTGCGTGCAAGTGCCTTCCAGCAGCCTCTGGTTATGGCCGTGTGCATCTGTGGCCAGACTGGGGGGGTCGGTGCAAGTGTGAGCCTCCTGGGGTAGAGCACAGCTGTTTGCGCAGTGCTTGCTCACCTGTGCATGCGAGTGCAAGGCCTGGTGTCTGCGTGCGTGTGCCCATCTGTCACCGGGGGCCAGTGTGCACGCATGTGTGTGTGTGTGTGTGCGCAATGGGCGGGAGGGTGAATATTCTGGGAGATGGCGTGCGTGGGCGTGAACACATTGTGGAAGCTCGTGGGCGGGAAAGCACAGCTGGGCCCCGGGTGAGCCGAGCTGTCACCGTGCCCGGGGGGTGCGTTCTGCGCCGGTGTCACCTGGCTTGCGGTGGGCGGGAGTGCGCGTTGCTATGGCAGTGGGCAGGCTGGGACGCAGCGCACGTATGTCACCGCTCTGCCGCAGACACGCTCCTGGGGAAGGGTGTGCCCCGGTGCTGGTGTCCTCGCGAGTGTGCAATGCTGGGTGTCCTCGTGAGTGTGCAATGTGGCCTGTACCTCCCTGCTGCTGCCCTCGCTCTGCCTGGCACCGGCATCCGTAGCCGGGCGCACAGTCTCCTCCACCCAGCCCGGTGCAGAGGGGGTGCGCTGGTCCCGATCTCACCTGGGGCACTTCCATCCTGCTCCCCCTCTGCCTCTCCTCCTCCTGCGCTGCCTCTCCTGCCTTCCTCCGCCCTCACTACTGTGCTCTCTCTCCCTCCCGGTCTCCTCTGTCCCCTCTCTCTGTGCATAGGGTGCTTCTTCCAGTCTAGTGGTGAAGTTTGCTGACACAGATAAGGAGAGGACCCTGCGGCGGATGCAGCAAATGGTGGGGCAGCTGGGGATTTTCACTCCTTCGCTCACCTTGCCCTTCAGCCCGTACAGCGCGTACGCGCAGGCTGTGAGTATCATGAGGCCCTATCGCTGTGCCGCAGAGACCGGGGCGGGCGCCCACCCTGCCGGCTCCCGCGGTGGGCACGTTGCAGGTCTGGAAACGGTTCCCAGGATCCTGGCTTCAGTCGCAAGTGTTTGCTGCTGGCTGGGGTCGGCCCTGGCATGTTTCTGGGAGACGTGGCACCACGGTGTGTTTCTCCGGTGCTGGATGTAGCTCGCGGCCAGGTGACGGTGTCTGTCTGGCCTCCGGGCGAGGTCTGGGAGTGCCAGCTTGAAGCCTGCTCAGCCCGCTTCCTCCTGCCAAATCCAGGTAGGGAGGGAACGAGCTGCTTTGGAGTGGCCCCGAGCACACTTGCGCTTGAGACCCAGAGCCTAGGAGCAGAGCCGGCGTTCAGGCTTTGGCAGCTACAGTGCCTCGAGTTGGTGCCCAGGGAGCGGGCTGCTCTTGAGCTTGGCAGATGGACCCTGGGAGTCCTCGCACCCAGGTGTCTTCCCGCTTTGTTTGTGCACCAACGGGAGCTGCCGGGCCTGGGATGCGTCCTGTAGAGCCGCAGCCTTCCCCGTGGTGGGATGATGCCCCTGCAGCCAGCACTGCCTTCCTGGCAAGGATGCACGGATGCTCGTCCCTTGGTGAGCTAGGAGCCACAGCCCCCCAGATTGCTCTGCCAGCTTCTGCCGTGGCATGCTCTGGCCTCTAGCACAGCCTGTTTCTCTCGGAGCTGGCGTGGCCTTTAGCGATAAGGTGGGGCCTCGGACCTAGGAGAACGGACCTGGTTCTGCTAGAGGTCTCTCGTCTTGCGAGACACAGACTCAGGGCCTGTTTTGGGCTGCCAGATCCTGCAGTACAGACTCGAGCCGCTCAGCTGGAACCCGATAGTCCAGGAGCGGTGCAATGGCCGTGGTGTTATACCAGTGGCATCTGGGCCACGGGCAGAGGCAGGAGTCCAAGTAACCTGGTCTGGTCTTGGGAGGGCAGTACAAAATAGTGTCTCTCATCCCCAGTCAGGCATTTGCATCATTAGGCCACTGGGATACTAAGTGCAAAGTGAAATTCTAGTGGAGGCTAAGGGACAGGGTCAAGGCCATGCAGGGAGTCTGCGGCAAAGCAAGGAATGGACCCTGGATCTCTCTAAATCCCAGAGTGCCACCTTGACCGATGGGCCATCCCTCCCCCCCTGTCCACGTGGAGCCCAACCTGGGATCGTTGGTACCCGGGGCAGCCTTTGTGACCTCCCCCCATGTTGGGGAAGGGTGTTGCATGGGTTTGGAGGGAGGAAGAGCCGCAGAGCCCAGCCAGCTCTGGTGCTGAGTAGGGAAGCCGCTCCCAGGGTGTGGAGCAGGGCGGGAGGGGTATGCCCAGCCTGATGGAGGCAGCAGGGCAGAACAGAGGGACCGGGTGTGCCAGTCAGCTGGGACGTGAGCAGGAGCAGTTGGCAGGACCGTCCTTGTGAAGAGCGATGCTAGGATCTTCACTGTTCAGGAAGAGCTACCAGGTGGTTGAATACAGGTCCCCGGCCACCACCAGCTGTGACTCGGGTGGGAAAGTCTGTGGAAATGGGGACCCACACGGCTCCCCCCGAGGCTCAAGGTTTCCTGCAGGCCATCCCAGGCTTTGCTGCCCGTGCCCGATCGTGCTCAGAGCTGCCACACTGCCTGGGGTGGTGCCGCTGGGAGCAGTGGGGTGACCTGGGACACTCCTGTTCCAGGTTAGCGTCTCTCTCCTGGTACAGGCAGGGGCAGCAGGGGAAAGGGCATGATTGGTGCTGATGTGGGAAGTGCCGGAGACCTCGCACAGAGAGACCAGAGCCATATGTACACGCCTAGCGTGTGCAAACATGGATGCGACGCTTCAAAATACACACATCAAGCACCTTCCAGGTCCTGCCCCTCTTTCATCTTCAGAGACCCGTTAGTGCTGGAAAACGCGATGGGACCTCCCTGTACCCACCAGCTCAGGCAAGGTAGAGCCAGCTTGGCGCCATGACTCTGCTTCCTACTCGCTCAGCTGTCTGCTCACCTATGGCCACGGAGCCGGCGGTCCTGAGCGCCCACAGCTCTCCTGGGGTCTGTAGGCGCTCAGCACCACTGCACATTGGCACTGCTTTCTTCTCTGCATCGTTCTTTCTTGCCCTTTGCTGTGTCTCTCGAGGTGGCCTTCATCTCCTCTTGGCCTCCAGCCTGGTCCTTCCCCACTCCTCCTCCTTGGCTTCACCTGGCCTTTCCCTTGACTCTAGACTTGGCCTCTTCTTCTTCTTCCCTCTTGGCTTTTTCCTCGGTTTCTCCCCTTTTCTGCCTGTTGACACTGGAGCTGCCTCATGATTTGAATTGGGACCGTTTCCTTCCAGAGACCTCGGGTTTGTCAAAATCCTGGGTTTCTTCTCTCCCAGGAGCTGGGCTTCTGACCGGTTCCTACTCATGCAATAGCCTAGGTGTGACCCAGCCTTCCACTATTCGTTTACTTATGTGGTTGTGGAAGAGAGGACATGAGGGAGAGGTTTCCTAGCAAAAGCCATTTTAAAACTATGCCAAATATTAACCCCAAGAGCCGGGGGGACGTCCAGAGCCAGGCATGTGCTCGGTCAGTGCCCAGCCAGCCCCTGAAGTGCTCAGACGTTCCTGCAGTGAAGCACCGAAGGGGAAGACTTGGCCCTCATGGCACGAGGAGATGCAGTTCCTAGAAGGATAGCAAGTGATGGCCTCTCATGGACCTGAGGAGCCTTGTTTTCATAGACATTAGGGCTGGAAGGGACCTCGGAAGATCATTGAGTCCAGCCCCCAATGCATTTGCATCTTATCAGGCTGTTGGTCTTTCACCAGCCTCTTGTTTTACTGCATCTCCAGGCCAAGGCAAGCACGCGAGACATGGTCATGATGTTAAGGATCATCCCAGGCATCAGGTGGAAAAGGAAAAGGAAATGGTGACTGTACAGAGAGACCAGAGCCATTTGTACACGCCTAGCGCGTGCAAACATGGATGCGACGCTCCAAAATGAACAAGCTTAAATGTTATAAACCTATTTAATTTAATTAGGATTAAACCCCATGACGTGTACAGGCACCCCAGGAGTGGGCAGCATCTCCCACGGACCGCACCATCCGCGGCCCTGGGTTTGCTACTGTCATTATAGAAGTTATAATTGAGAGTGGCTCTCTACTGGAAGACTGGGGAAGTTGGGAACTGGCAAACGGTCCCTGAGTTAAGAAGTGTTTAGTTAGTTGCAGGCAAAGGGTCTGCCGAGGTTGCCTACTGCTCCACAGTAAAACCTATTGTTTAGTTCTTCGCACTTCACCGACCCCGGAGATCACGGCAGATACTGCTCTTGTTCTTCCCCCCGATGGGCTTGCCCCAGGCCCAGGATTTTCCTGCAAGCTCTGCAGTGCAGGAGCTGTCAGGCCTTGACCAGGCCCAGATAGCTGTGCTGTGGTCTTTCCTAGAGAGCTGGGGCGGCTGCGGGGCAGGAGTTAACAGGCCTCAAGGCACATCTGGCCAGACTTGGGCTAAGAGATTTTGGCAGCGAGGGAGTTGTGTTAGTCCGGTGCCATTAAACTGCCCTCCAACCTCCCGCTACCGTGCACCCCCCACAAATCCGCGTCATGGGCCCTGTAAATCAGAGCAGATAAAAATGGACTCTTATATTAAAATTAAAAGCAAGTTTATTTTCTTCAAATCAGACTTTGATTAAAATGAAAAACTTTTTTTTTTTTTAAAACAAGCCTATTTAAAGGCCAGTGTGAAATGCCGGCAACTTATATGAGGGCCCGACTTTACTACCATCTATTAAAACAATTTAAATGGCATTTAAAAAAAGGGAAAAAAAGCAAGTGGTGTCTTTTTGCTGCCAAAGCCTTGAAGAAAGCCAACGCTTTGAACCTGAAGGATATTACTGGCTAAGCCCCCACTTTATTGACGTGCAAAACCAGGTTTTGACCCCTGCAGCTTTTTCTGCAGGGAATATTTGAGTTGCTTGAATTTATTCAGCGACTTTGGGCCAATGGCTGGTTCGTACGGATTTAAGAAATCAAGCGGGAGTTGATAAAAGCAGGAAAACGTGCTTTCATCTTCCAGTTCGTCAACAGAAGCAAGGTCTGCGAGGACGAGGTCTACTAGGTCTATCGTCTCGAAGGACGGCCCGACCGGAAACAATCAGGCCGATTCACTGACCATATATAATAATTGAAATACGTCCTTTGACACCCCCTCCGCGTTTGCTTCTGTTTCCGGCCCGTTTTATGACCATTGCATTTAACAAATGAGAACGAGATAAAACTGCCGCTTCCGTGCATTTTTTTTTTTTTTTCCGACCGAATGCAAATTTCCCACAAAACGCCACCCGGCAAAATCCTGGGTTAAAAATAGAAAGGAACCATCTCGTCCGCAAAGACACGCATCGTTCCTCGTTTCCTAACGTAATAAGGAAACCCGGAGCGAGCGTACGTGAGGACCCAGGCTGGCTGAGATAAATGCGTCTCCGTGCCGGTTTGCAGAAGGCCACACGCGTGTCGCGAGCGGGCGTCTTGACGTGCAAGCAGACGGCGCCCGACTGGTGAGAATCGCCCTTTCCCGAGGAAAAGGGCTCCAAAGCACGAGATTAAAGTCCCTGCTTTGAATCGAGGCTTGCTGCTCGCCGATCTACAGGAGAGATTAAATCGCTTGGATTTCGAGCCGTCCAGCCTGGTGTGCAGCCCCCAGCGGCGGGCGGTGGGTGCTTCGGGGGACAGGAATTTTCCGCCTGGAAGCCGAGCGACGTCGTCTCCCGGGAGCGACGATGGTGAAAGCGGCTCCCGCCCTGCCCTGCTGGGCTGGATTCTGCCCCGAGCGTGCCCTGCTGATGCCCGTTTAAAGAGACAGCAATGCCAGAGGCTCTCGATTTCGGGGAGCGGCTCAGGGAGCTAGCGGGGTGCATAGGAGCCAGCAGCTCCTTCTCCTGGGGCGCAGCGCCAGGCCTCTGGAGGTTCCCTGGTTTCTCCAGGGGTGGGTTTGTGGGTGCAGCATTCGCAGAGAAGGGGCATGCTTTGTTGGAGCAGTAGGATGCAGGCAGGCCCTGGGGGTCTCTCTCTGGCGCCCAGTACGGGCTGCCAGGGGTCGCCCTCCCAGCGAATCCTGCACCATTTCCTCCCTCTCGTTCTCGCCCGCGAACGGTGACGGCATCAAACGCTCCCGCAGGGCTTGCAAAGGGGCCGGGGAGTGTTGTGGCCAGGAATAACCTCTATGGCGCCGTGCGCACTAAGATTTGCATAATCCAATCTCATGCTTCGGAGCACCCCGGCGAGGGCTGCGGGGGTCAGGAAGGAATTTGCTCCCCGGTTCCCTGGGCCTCATCCACGCCGTCTTGCTAGCCAGGTGCAAGGGGGTTTGCCTTTCACCGAAGCACCGGGTCACTGCCTGGGGGCAGGATCCGGACCCCGAGGCACCGTTCCCGTGCTGCCGTGTGTTTTTAGCGTGCTGCGTGTTTCCGAGTGAAAGCAGAAGGCATCGCAGGGGGGAGCCCCGCTGAGCTGACTTCTGCCTTGCAGGGGAACAAGCCCCTTCCTCTGCTGGGGCAGACCCTGAAGCCATCGCAGGGGCTGGCTCCCAGGCTGTGGCCCTAGCCCCCGGGCTGCCCCTGCGGGAACCGTGACTCGGGCGAGCCTGTGGTTCGCGGCCCCAGGAGATGGAGGGCAGCGACGGTCTCCCTGCAATCTCACAGCCCAGCCTGCCTCGGATGTGCAGGCCTCCGCCAGCCTGCTGGCCGCTCCCTTGGCAGCTCCCCCACGCAGCTCCGGAGGAATTTGGGGTGGGATCTGGTGCCTCCCAGTGGCCTGTCGGAGGAGAAACCCGTGTCCCTGGCGCTGTAGCTGTGTTAGCAGGCATCGAGCGGGTGGCGGGGTGGCGCGGGGTGCTGGACCCCTGGGGCTGGTGCCCAGGCTGACGTGCAATGTCTTTGCAGCTGATGCAGCAGCAGACGACGGTCCTCTCCACCTCCCACGGCAGCTACCTGAGCCCCGGCGTCACCTTCTCGCCCTGCCACATCCAGCAGATCGGCGCCGTCAGTCTGAACGGGCTGCCGGCCACCCCCATCGCCCCGGCTTCAGGTATGTGCCGGCCACGCCTGGCTCCGAACAAGGAAGGGACCTGGGCAGGCCCGGTTGTGCGGCACCCTGCATGGCCCGAGGGCCAGCGCACCACTGCAAGGGCACGCAGGACCCCGTCGTGTGCAAACACCGAGTCTGACACCTGGCATCCCAGTGCTGCGAGCTCCCTCACAGCAGTGCCCTGCCGCAGCTAAGCATGTGCCGCTCTCCCCGGTCTAGACCGGCTGGGGTGCTGGATTGCTTCCCCGCAGCGCTAACGCTGGCGGCCGGTGGGAGCCAAGCTAATGCAGGATGGATTTGTCTCTTCCCCCTTCAGGGCTGCACTCGCCTCCTCTCCTGGGCACGGCTGCCGTTCCAGGCCTGGTGGCGCCCATCGCAAACGGGTTCACCGGGGTGGTGCCTTTCCCCAACAGCCACCCGACGCTGGAGACCGTCTACACCAACGGCCTCGTGCCCTACCCAGGTACGGAGGCTGCGGCGGGGCCTTCTCCTCCCATCCTTACTGGCTCCCGGGATCGGCCCCAGCCGGATGCGGTGGTCTCTCTCCAGGCTCTCCCCATGGGATCTAGACCTGTCTCTCCCCAGACGCCTCCAGGCTCAGCCCCTCATCTCAGGAAACAGCCGGAGACCAGAGCTTGCCTGGCGTCCCTGCAAGCAGCTTTCTCTGGTGCCAGGGTGGGGAGCACGTCTCCCTTCTCATCCCTTTCTCTTTTTCCCTTGCTCCAGCCCAGAGCCCGTCGGTGGCAGAGACGCTGCATCCAGCCTTCACGGGGGTCCAACAGTATGCAGGTACCTGTCCCCTTTTTTTACTACTCTTCCTTGGGCCGCCATGGTCTTAATGTCCCCCTAGTAACCTCCTTGTTTTGTCTCCTTGACTATAGCCGTGTACCCAGCCACAACCATCACCCCGATCGCCCAGACTGTCCCCCAGCCTCCCCCCCTCCTACAGCAGCAGCAGCGAGAAGGTGAGGCCCTGAGCTGGGGCGCTGGGCAGTGCTAGGGGGCTTGGGGGCATCCCTTGCTGCAGCGCAGCCCACGGTGGGGCTGAGTCGCGTGCACCGATGGCAGTGATGGAGGGCGAGGACAGGGCTGGAGGATGGCAGGGCAGACGCAGGGTCCACAGCTCCTGCTCTGCTCAGCCGTGCATGCAGCTCCACTTGGGAGGCTGCCTTTGTGCTCTGGGGACCCAGAGGCAGCCCGGCGGGGAAAGCGAGCATCTCCTGCCCCACTGCCGCGGCTCGGGCTGGCTGACCCAGGGGCAGCATCAATGCAGCTGGCTCTCTCCGGGAATGGCTTGCTGCTCGCACCCCTAGGCTGGCATTGGCAACCTCAGCTCAGCTTTGCCATGTGGTCGGTTCTCAGATGATGCTTGAAAGGTCCACGGCCTGGTGCACCTGGACCCTAGGGCCACCCCGCAACGCGGCATCCACCGTACTGTACCGAGCAGTGCCTGGCTTTTGCCCCATCCTTGTCGCAGACTGTCCAGTATCACCGGGGGGACCTGCAGTTATCTCGAGGCCTTGTGGCGTTCGCAGCTTGGGGTCACCTGTGCATCCCTGAGCTCTTCCCTGCAGGCGGGGAGAGCAGGGCAGCGAAGGCAGGGGGCATCCAGGGGTCTCAACCAAGATGTTTCCCCAGCTGACCCCACGTGTCTCCCCGCTTCTCTCGGGCACTCTGCGTGCTTCCACAGGCCCGGAAGGCTGCAATCTCTTCATCTACCACCTGCCTCAGGAGTTTGGAGACAACGAGCTGATGCAGATGTTCCTGCCCTTTGGCAACATCATCTCCTCCAAGGTGTTCATGGACCGAGCCACCAACCAGAGCAAATGCTTCGGTAAGCTCCCTGCCGCGGGGAGAAGGGACAGCAGCAGGGGAGAGGGCAGGAGGAGAAGCCACGTGAGACAGCAGCCACCTGGGCACGTGCAGGGAATCGGCTCTCCGTCCAAAGGTTGTGGGGCACCAGGCATCCGGGTCCTGGCTGGGCATGGAGAGGAGGAGCTGGCAGGGGAGACAGGAGGGCAGCTAAATGAGGGGCGTCCTCCCCTGTATGGACCGGAGCTGTGCGTCTGGGGGCTTGAATGTCTGCACCGGGATATGCATGTACATACACCAGGGAACGTGCAAGTGCACACACACCACTGCCAGAGAGGTGTGCGCACACTAGGGCACTAGGCTTACCTTGCCACGGGAGAGTGTGCATTTGTGGAGCAGTTTGCTCCAGGGTCCTGCCTCAGGCTTCCCCTCTCTGTTGGCGGGGGGCTGTCGGGGTGTGCACATGTGTTTGTATGCTCACGAGAGACAGAGGGAGAGTCTACACGGGCTTTTTGGCACCAGCCCCTGCAGTCACTGGCCCAGAGGCCTGTAGACCTGGCCTGAGTCATTTAATAAGCGTGGGTTGGGCTGCTGTGTTTATGGCTGGGGGTTTTGTGTGCACGAGGAGGACACCTGAGCATGAGCACAGGGGTAGGACGTCCTCAGGAGGGGTGGTCTCTAGGCAGGGGATGTGTGTGCACATGTGTGTGTGTTTGGATGAGGCTGAGGGCAAGGTTGCATAGATATCTGGCTGGGGTATTATGACCCCAGCACTCGTTCCTGCCCATGGCAGGGGGTTGGACTTGATGATCTGTTCAGGTCCCCTCCGAACCTAGAAACTGTGAGCTGTGCCTCCAGACCCCACGTGCGATAGGACCATACCTGCCGCTGGCAGCTCCTTTCGCTCCCACCTCCCCGAGGCTCTTGCTTCCTGCCGGCCTGGGGGGCAGGCGCCAGCGCGGAGCAGTGCCGCTGGCCGTGCATTGGGCTGGCCTGTCCCAGCAACTCGGCCCCGACCAGCCGGGCTCTGAGGACCGGATGCCTGTGCTGCTGCCCATCCTGGTCTCTGTCCTGCAGGTTTTGTGAGCTTTGATAACCCCTCCAGTGCCCAGACAGCCATCCAGGCCATGAACGGCTTCCAGATCGGGATGAAGAGGTTGAAGGTTCAGCTAAAGCGACCCAAGGACGCCAGCCACCCCTACTGACAGTAGGTGCAACCCGGAGTCGGTGTTGCAGCACAGGTAACACGCAAAGCCTCGCAGCTCCTGCTGCTTCCCCCCCCGGGCCACCACCCACCTCCAGCCCTGCCTTGCAGCCCCGTCACTGAGACCCTGGCTGGAAGGGCAGCCGTCAGCTCTCCATTGCTTAAGCATGTCCAGTTCTTGACCTCTGGTGCAAGTGGATGTTAAATCCTGGTTTCTTTTGCATATGACAATGGCATTAGGCTGTGCACAGGTGAGCGGACGAATCCACCGGTTCATTCATTGTAGGGCCCGACCCTGCCTTGGCCAACAAAGGTGGATGAAGTGGGGCTTGCTGGTATTGCTAACACAGGGGGAGCATCCCTCGTTGTCTTTGGACCAAGAGCTGCTCGAGTAGCCTGTCGGGGAAGCATCAGGGATGGATGTGCTCCAGGAACCGGGACAGACGGCTGCTTGCGGGTAGCTAGGAGCTTGGAGCCTGGTGGGTTTGGTTGGGCGTTGAGGATCCAGCTACCTGGCAGGGGAGATACCACCACGAGGTGGTTTTGCTTGCCCGGCAGGGCAGATGCCCTTCCTCTTGGCCTTGGCTGACATGGTGCAGTCGGAGGGTGAAGACCTGTCCCTTGCACCGTGGACAGGCTGATCCCTGCTAGAACCTATAAATGCCTCCAAATGCAGGGATTGCAGCTGCACGGTTTATGGTGGAGGGGGATTGCTTTCGGGTTTTCCCTCCAGCTTGCTCCCTCGGCATTTTGGCTGGGGGCAAGTGAGATTAGGGGGTCATCTGAACTCCAAGACCTCCGGGCTTGGGGCCTGCCTGTAGGATGCCTGCTGCGGGTTTGGGAGTATCTGAAGGCCCAAGCTAAAGAGTCTGAGAGAGAGGTGACGTACCAATGGTAGTGCCGCAGACTCGAACGATTGAGCTCTGTTTAATCAATAACATTGGCAACAGATTTGGCTGATTTGGCGCATCACACAAAATTAAATTTCAAAAATTCCCCCCAAAACAATAATAGCATTTGCAGTGCGTCACGTGTGACGAGCCCTGCAAAGCCCCCGGCCCTGTACGGGGCATTGCAGTAGGCAGGTGGGTGCCCTGGGGGCTGCATCTCCAGCAAGGAGAGGATCGGTGGATGGTGGGCATTGCAGCTGGCACCCTCTTGGCCAGGTTTTGTTGCTCGAGGAGAGGCAGCTGCATGTGCTGAAGCTGCTGCAGGGCCTGGGTCTGCTCCCCTAATGCGCTGGAGATGTATATGCTTTTTAAAAGGGCAGGGTGAAGTAGCTCACCCTTTTGTATGTGCTGGGTCTGGACTGGCTCCACATAGCATAGCCCGTGTGAGCGGAGGGGATGTCTGCAGGGCACAGGGCAGGTGAGGTCGTACCAGGGCAGACACAGCAAAACCAGGTGTAAACCACACTGGCGCCAGAGCACGTACCCAGCGTCCCCGGAGAGTTTCTACCCCGGCTGCTGCTTCGTGCCAGAACCTGCCCCGCTTTGTCTTCGCTGTCTTGCTGATCCGGGCTTTGCGCCGCTGGGCAGCCCCAGGGCAGGGGGTTCCCAGTTGTGGTCTGAAGACCGCCGTCACGTCCCCCCAGGGCAGGGGGGGCAGTTTGACGAGCAGCCTTCACCTGCTTAACTCGCGTCCCCCTTTGCCCCCAGGTGAAGGCAAAAGTCCTGAGGAAGAAATCTTGCTTCAGGTCGCTTGACAAGCAAGGCCAGTAAATTTTACAGACTCTTTGGATACTGCCCCTTTCCTCTCCCCTCTCCCCCACCAAAAAAAAAACCTAAAAAAAAATAAAATGTGAACGGCCGAAGAGCAGCGAAGCGCTGGAAGGGCTTGCCAGCTCCCCCGGCGGGGGACCTTCTTGCCACGACGGTCCCAGACCGCTCGGGCCAGGCCTGGACTTGACGGACCAAGCCAAGTGTCTCCAGGTCACGTGAGCACCTCCCGGGACTTTGGCCTCCCCACACCCCCGACCCGCCCTTTTCATATATAAATAGAAATATAAATATATATATATAGTCTCTATTTTTTTTTAAAACGTGAAATGCAGGACCAAACTTTTCCATGCAGAGACTTCCTCCTTCGTGCCGGAGGGGTTGGGAGCAAAGGGTTACCTCCGAGGCAGCAGCTCCTTGGCAGGGACTGCCAAAAAACGTTTAAAAAAAAAAGGGCCTGAACCGTTGCCGGAGGACGTGTGTTCGGAGAGATCCTCACTCAGTGCTAGCAAGAGGCGAGGGGGGAGAGAGCACTATATACCTCCAGGAACCGGTCAGCTCAAGATTCATTCACCTGCCAACCTTAGCACCAGCTTGGTTACAGACCTGGAGAGCTCTGGGTTACCTTCGAAAGGGCTTCTGCAGAGCAAGCGACTGGGATCTGGCTCCAAAGGCCACCCGGGCACTCCTGGGTCGGGCAGAACGTACCGTCCCCTGCACCCGTGGGCGCAGCACCGCCTCCGAAGCATCCTTCTCCGTTCTCCGCGGCGCCGGGGAGGTCTCTGGACCAATCCAAGGAGAAAGCTGCCCGCGACGGCCTACACACTGCCTCCCCGTACCGGCGTAAACGCGGCGCGGCGTTTCCAGACCGACCGGTCCGTTAGCAATGACACTTTCTGCAGCTGAATTTAACAGGGAGGGAAACAACCTCTTAATCCCTCGGCAAAGCTTTTTTTTTTTTTTTTTTTTTGGAGCAGATGCACAGAAGACGACATTATGGGGTGGGGTTTTTTTTTTTTCTCTCCACCTCCTCCAAAGGACAAACTATACAGTATGCAGCTTATATAGACTCTATAAATATATATACACGCACTTAAGCACAGAACACAGCTCGAGCTTGGTTAGAGACCTTCGCCGAAGCAGGGATCGTACAGCTGAGAAGCATCCATGTAACAACTTGAAGGCAGTCCGGTCAAGTTTCTACCAAAACAAGGGGAAAAAAACAAAAAAAACCCAATCTTCTGAATAACTGGTTTGGCTATTACAGAGTTTGATAATGTATCAAGAACATTCCTGTGTGCGTGTGTCCGCGTGGGTCTGCAAAGTCAGCAGAGGGTTGGTGGGAAAAGACTGTTGTAGAAGAGCGATCCAGTTGGGGATGGGCTAGGTTTCTCTTGGGAACGTTGTAGTGTCTAGTCCGTCTCCAGTATCCCTTGTGCAGGTGTCCTCCTGGCTCTTTCAAACAAAAAAAAAAAAAGTACGTGTGTGTGTGTGTGTGTGTGCGCGTGTCTCAACAGTCAACCCTCTGTGTCCGATTGTGAGCGTACGTGCGAGAGCGAGAGCGCATGCGAGAGAGATGCCGTGTTGGAAGCTTGTGTGTTTCTATAGTCCATGTTTACTGATTGTACATACCATTTTTATACTTAACATCTATGATGTACGTGATTTGTATAATGTACTTTATTTCTGCTACAAGTAATTTCATGACGTTTGGACTGGAAATCTAATTTTGAACAAAAAAAAAGGACCAAAAAAAAAAAAAAAAAAAAAAGGAAGAAATATTACCAAACAGCAAAACATAGAGGAAAGGACTTTGGAGACTGTCCGCTATGCTTAAAACAAGCGGCGAAGAGCGGGTTCTTCCGTCACGGTTCCCAGCGGGACCGTGGCACGCTGCAGGTGAGCTACAGGCTTCGTCTTACTGTCCAACTCCTCACTCTGGTCTGAAGAATCCTGGATTTATTTAATAAAGGTTTTACTTGCTATGTGGCTAGTTTTGAACTTCGTCCTTTGCTTGCTTTGGTCTCCTGTGGGTTTCTTGGTTTTGGAAGTGGGCTCTATTTGGGCCAGAGATGATCCTGAGTCTTGGAGACCTGGGCAACACGTGCTCCGACGTGACCCAGAGCAGCCACCTGCGTCCCTACCTCTTGCTTGAGCTCTGCTGGGCTCGGCAGCCCCGCGGCAAGAGCGCTCGGTGGGCAGAAAGTTGGGGTTTAGGTGCTGCTCCCCAATCCCTGCTGCTCCCCCAGTGGTGTGTGGTGGGCTCAGCGCACACTTACTGCCCTCAGACACAGCAAGGGCTTCGGTGCTGGGATGCCTCCTCTGCGAAGCCCCGGTGCGGTGTAGTCAAGATGGCGGGCACGCTCCCTTCGATGCACACGTCGGTTTGCAGTAGGACCCTAGGGCATCTGTGCACAAGCAGTAGGGCAGGGTTTTGTGGATCAAGTCCTTGCAGCATTGTTTTCATGGCTTTAGCTGTGAATCAGGACTACGGTCGAGGGAGCCCGCTTGCCTGGCACTTCTCCTCTCTGTGCCTGCCTCCACAGACCCCTTCTTCCACCAGAGAGCTGCTCAGAGGCGGTCGTCTTCCATTTCTCTGCCTATTTCTCTGTCTCTTAAGTAAAAGCAACCAGAAGCCCAGCAGTTGGCTTCTTCTGGAGACCCTCCATTGTGGCAAAAGTGCCTGCAGGCAAAGGCAGGCAAGGTCTTGGGTCGTAGCTCAGAGCGAGCGGGGTCCTAGCTTGGTGCAGTCCTTCCCTTTGCTTGGCTCAGATCCCGCCTTCTGCCAGGGCTGCAAGGTGCTCCCACATCCTCGGCTGACAGGTTCTAGAGGAAAGCAACAGACCCTAAGAAAGCACATGCAACCTGGAAGCTGTTACCAGGTCCCCCTCCAAGGCATGATAACTGCAATGCTGGTGCAAATGCAGTGTTCAATGGGGAGAGGTAAGGCTGGGGTTTGCTTGGGCAGGAAGAAATGGGTCGTCTTGGTCTCCCCAGGCCCTGAGGAACACGTGGCTGTGGACCACAGGGCTGGCTCCATGGGCAGGGTAGGGCTCAGGAGAGGGAGGCTGGCAACAGCCCATTCCTTTCGATAGCAATGCTGTGCCCGAAGCCAAAGCCCACATCCTATTATACACACATGCAGAGGTGCCAATGCAGGAGGCAACAGGGAAGCTGCCCACTGCTGCCAGCACCCCTGCACGCGCAGCAACATTGCCACGGCCCTGCTCTGCTTCCCTCACCTCTTCTGGACGAACAAAGGCGGCTCTTTCTTCCATGGCCTTGGCTGAGGGGGAAGCTCTCACCCCACCTGTCCTCCTGTTTGCTGCAGGTGGCATCATGCAGAGCTGGGCACTTGCCCAAAGGGAGTGACCACTGCAATCGAGGAGCAGCCACAGCAGGGATGCTACCGATAAGGCCCGCAGGCTGGAGCCAGCCCTTGGTGCTGGGTCATCCAGCCCACAGGGCTCCTGGTAGGGCTGGGAATTCAGGGGTGCAGCCCACCTCCAAGTTCTGGGGTCCACAGCCCCCTTGGGGATGAACATTGGCAGCAAAGGGACAACAGCCGTGGTAATCCCTGTGGCTCCCTAAGCTGACAGCACCACTCACCCTGTTGCCACACCAGGAAATGGGTCAGGAGTGGACCTGGGGGCCCAGTTGGACACCCCTGATCTACAGCCAGCAGGACTCCGGTAGTGCAGGGAAGCCGAGGGCCGCCAGACCATTCAGCACCCCCTAGGAGAACACCGACCCTTGCAGCAACATGGGTTAGTTTGGTATTTTTTAATTAAAATAGAGATTAAAATGCTATTAACAAGGGTTTGCAAAGTTCACAACCATACAGCACCAGAGGGGCTCCCACTGTACAGCATGTACAGACACATTTACAGGCTGGCAAGCAGAAATATACACATCTGGGCAGCAAATATATTATACAGAGAAGCCGCGTGCCCGGTTCCCTGCAGCTCAGAGGGGCCAGAAGGCAAGTGGAGGTGCGTGCGGTGGCTACTGCTGCATGCGGGAGACGTCTGGCATAGATCAAGCAGGAGTTGGGGTCCTCTACCACCACTTCCCCCAAGCACCGCTCACACCAAGCGCTTCTCTCGTGAGCATGGAGAGGAGGCGCCGGGTTAAAGCAGTTGCTGTCCCTGCTTCTCCGCATCCGTGCCCTCTCCCGGGCACAGCGTAGCATGGCACTTTCCTGCAGTCACGCCTGTGGCAGCGGGCACAAGAGGCCGCTCCCAGCACTGCACCCAGGCCAGGCCTGCCCCACAACCGGGGACTTTGCTGTGGTGCAGAGGTGGACGAAACCAGCAGGATACACGCTGGATGGGGTCGGCCAGGCACTGCCATGGGCTGAGCGAGCAAGGCAGGCAGAGGGTGGCAGAGAGGCCTGTGCAAGTCACCTGCAGAGACACTCCTGGTTGGCAAATGGACACTTCTGTTGGCTCCTCAGCCAAGGCCCTGGGCAGGTCCCTGGAGAAGGCCTCTCTGCTGGCATCTGGCACCTCTGCCAAACAAGTGGAGGGACAGGTCCCCTCCGAATGCCCACAGGCCAGTAGTGGTTGGTGCCTGGAAACCAGCATGCCTAAGCAACCCACGCTTTACCTTCTGCCAAGGCCGGAGTGGGGGATCAGCTGGACCCAGCACCTGGTTTTGCGGGAGGAGGAGACTTTGACCTGTCCACTCTGCTGCAAGAAAGGCCAGTGCCTGGCAATGCTCTCTTCCCGTGCCAGATCCCACCACAGTCAGACCGCCGCTGTTAGCACCACCGCAGCAGTGTTAGACAGGCAAGGGCACAACAGAGCAGAGTGGCAGGAGGCTGCCTGGGCCCCGGGGCACTCCCTGCCACGCTGACAGTCTTGGAGACCGTGTGCAGCTTGAGTCTGCTGGGGTACAAGGCCTTCAGGTCTTCCAAGGCCCCGTAGGCTGCCACGGAGAACTCAGGGTCCCCTGTGGTGAGCAGGTCAAAGACACAGGACTGGAAATACACATCCTCCACCTGCAGCATGTGGCGGCACTGCTTCGTGGCCATTTCCACCGTGTAGGCCCAGCGGGAGCCCGGCCAGAGCGGGCCGACGTTGCCCAGGCTCAGCCGGTGCTCCTGGATCAGCTCGCTCTTGGGGCAGCCGTGCAGGCAAAGCTGGAGGCCGGTGCCCTCCTCGGCGAGGCTCAGGGTCTCCTCGGGCACGCGGATGGCGAAGGTGAGGTAGCGGCCCACCTGGCGGATGATGATGGTGCTGCCGATGTAGTGGGCTTGGATCTCCACCTGGTGCGTGTCCGGCTTCTCCAGGATGCGCAGGCTGCCGGCTCCCTCCTGCTGCCCCCCGTTCCTTGTGCCGTCACTGAACGCCAGGGGCAGGTCCTCGGTGGTGGCCTGGTAAACCTTCTGCTCCGTGCAGCCCTGGTAGCTCTTAAAGATCAGGGTGATCTGCAGGAGAGGGAGAAAGGATCAGAACAAATACAGCAGCCTTTCCCTGTGGCTGGCAGCGCTCAGCCCAGAAGGGGCTTGAACCTGAGTTTTTCTAGCACGGTGCATAACCCACCATGTCACAGGGCCGGCGGTATCCAGCCCCCGTCTCCAGCACACCTTTGGAGTCTGCCCCCTGGGCAACCAGGGGGAAAGGGCCACCAAGGGGAACAGTACACGCCACTAAGTGCACAGCTCATGGAGATGGCTGCTGGAAACTTAGAATCACAGAAAATGAGGGTTGAAGAGACCTCGGGAGGTCACAACTAGTCCAACCCCCTGCTGCAAGCAGCACCAGCCCCAGCTACATCATCCCAGCCAAGGCTTAGTGTAGATAGGTCTTAAAAACCTGCAAGGATGGAGAGTCCACCACCTCACTGGGTAACCTGTTCCAGTGTTTTACTACCCTCCTAGTGAGAAAATTCTTCCTAATATCGAACCTAAACTTCCCTTGCCCATTGCTCCTTGCTCTGCCATCTGCCCCCACTGCGAGCAGCCCAGCTCCATCCTCTTTGCAGCTCCCCTGCAGGGAGTCAAAGGCTGCTATTCAATCCCCTTCTGCACTGCACTCACCCATTTTACCCAGTGATGGTGAATGCATGGGGCAGGGGCTCAGCACATGTATAAACACTGCACCTAGGGTCTGATCTACAGCCACGGCTGCAAGTCAGAGCACTGCAGTCTCGACCCCTCGCTGTGGGGGTGCAGAGCCTGGGGGCACGCTCTGGCTTCTCTGCTACTGGTGTCCAGCTGCAGCGGGGAGGGGGACAAGAGCCGCTTTCTCCTCCTTGTTCTGTTGGGACACAACATCAGGACTTGTGCCCAGCTCAGCAGTCGTGTAGACACCCAGACCCATGGTGGACACAGGACAGGACCCCCGGACTCCCAAAGTCCAACTGAGCATCCTAACTGGTCCGTGCCTCCTGCCTGCAGCCCCCAGAGGCACCTGTTCTGCAGCAGTTCGGGGTGTTGAAGCCTGTCCAGGCTTGCACACCACTGTTTGCATTCCTGGCCTGGCACCGAGCACAGAGACGGGAACGGGTGGACGCAACCCACCGATCCCGTCTGCCAGCGAAGCAGGGCTCTGATAGGAAAGGGTTCCAGGGAAGGGAAAGGTTTTGGGTTCGAATCTCCGCATCTAGTTCAGGAGACTCCTGGGATCCTTGGTTTGAACCAGCTGCAAGGAGGCAGGCAGGATGGACAAGTCATGGTGATCACTGAAAAGGCTGCTGAGACCTGCTACTCCTATGGCCACGGGGCTAGAGTACAGGCTGGGAGGCCAGGACTCCTGGGTCCCGAGGTGAGGGTTGGCAGCAATGCCCCAGCTCTTTCTGCAAGTAGGGGAGAGCATTTACTGCAAGGTTACCCCTTTAGGAGAGCGGTCTGGCCAGGTGACATGAGTGTCCTAATTGCCTTCCTCCTGCAGTCCAGCAAAGTAGGCTCCAGGAGGGGCTGGGTGTCTCATGATTCACAGGTCCTGTCCCGCTCCGGCAGATCCCAGCTATCTGGCAGCACAAAGAACCACAGACCTTAGGTGTGGACCAGGTCCAAGGCACAAGCAGACGAGCTTTTGGGATGGGCAAGCTCGAATTACCCCATGTCCGATTTGAAGACCACCCCTCTTAATGCCCACTGCATGGGCACCTCGGATGGCATGGTGCCAGCATCGCCAGAGTGCAAGGAAGGCAGCATTCCCCCTCCAGCCCCACACCAAAGGGGCAGCCTTGTCTCAACACAGACACCAGAGCAACTCAGACACCAAAAAAGAGCATGATGAACAGCTGACGTAGAAGAAGAGACAGAGCAGCCTCAGGCTAAAGAAAGCAGGAGCCGGAAGTTTGCTGTCTGTGCACAAAGTGCAATAAGATCCTGCCCCCACGGGCCAAGCTAACGCATGCTAACCCCTGCGTGGATACTCTCAGTTAGGAATAAAGTTGCCTCAGACTACACGGACGTCACCCCTTTAGCTCTATGCACTAGCCCACACTGCCTACCCCCTTCTTTCCCGGGGGTTGTGCGGCTAATCGCATTGAGACAGGCCAGTGCTGAGAACCAGTGCTCAAGGGATCATTCCCCGTTGCGTTTCCCCAGGACCTTCAGGCCAAAACGGACCAACCACACTGACTCCTCCAGGCTCGGGCACTTTTAGCCATTAAGCTTTCCATGAGACAAGCATTAACAAGGCTCAGGACAGCAGAGGGTATGCACCCGTGCAGGACAGCCCAATTCACAGCTACTGCTGCTAGGCCTAGCTGGGTCTGGGCTGCCCTTCCAAGAGCAATGCAAGAGATCATGGCAACAGGCAGCAGCCCTGTGTATGGGCCCTCTCACCTCCTGGCCACGGCTCCAGCCCTGCTGGGTGGGCACAGCTTGGGGAGGTGATCTCCCTTGCAGACAGCGAGTGACTTAGATTAGTGGCTTCCACCCTAGCCGGCCATAGTGCCTCCAGCCTCATCCCCTTGTTCACGGCATCAGCAGAGGCATCGAAAGCCCTGTAAGGACCACGCCGGTGCAATCAGTCCAGCACCATCGTCTACACGGAGTGCAAAACTGAACCCAGCCCACTGGGGGGCACTGGGATTTTTCCTACTGAAGCTAGATCATCCCCGGGCAGCGACTAGCGACGGGCACAGAAGCAACGAGATGCACACAACCGTCCTCCCGCAAGTCATTCATGTCCAAAGCAGAACGACAACGAAGACAGCTTCCCTAGAGAAGAAATGTTCCTGCCTGTACCATCCTCACGAGGATGATATGCTTTTCCCACCTTCCCAATGATCCAGATTCTCCCGCCCGCGGTCCCAAGCCGCAGCCCCCTGCTCCATGCACCCGACCGCCCCATCTGATCGATAGAGAGCTCGATTCGTCGTGATATCAGACTGTGCCTTCTGCAACCATCACTAGTTTGCACCCTCTCTCAGGTCCTTGCTCTTTCTGAAGACCCGCAACGGGGTGTTTTCAGCACAGACGGGCTTGCAAACTTTAGTCACAGCTATCCTCTCATCCGGCAGACAGACAGGCGTGCTTCTTGAGTCCCGAATCGCCCAGGAGGCGTGAGACTATGCAGACCCCACTGCCCCACTCTAAATCTCCCACTTGTGCTCATGGGGGTACAGATAAATCCCTTCTCCGCCCCTCCCTTTGAGTTGGGTCTAAAACAGGAGTTTTACCACCCCCCGGAAGCAGGCACTGGAAATAATGTGGTGTAAGGAGAGCGAGGGCATGAAGACGCCAGGTGCAGCACTGCAATTAGCAGGGACCATGGTAACGAGGCACGTCTGACTCAGCTTCCAGCCACCCAACTTGTGAATAACCAGCCTCCTACGGCCACTTTCTGACATGAGCTTCCTCGGCCTAGCGCAAGGGGGCAGCTCACGATCACAGCTGCTGGCTTGAAGCATGCAAGCTGAGCTGCTAACACGAAAGACGCCTCCGGGGCCTGATGCTTTTACCTTGCTGGTGGCCGTGGCGCTGGATCCCAGAACCACGGGGACATTGGTGACCTGGACCGAGAGGTACTGATTGTCTATTAGCGGCCACGCTCCTTCCACTTTGCACGTCTGGAACTCGTCCTTGAATGTCCGTAAGTGAGGGTCCCCAAACAACCCGCAATGGGCAAACCTCTTCTGAAAGCCAGACCTGCTCTCATAGTTGCAGAGCTCGGAGAGCAGAGGGTCCGGCGTGCGGGGGGCTTTGGCCGAGGACGTGGGCCCGTCACTGGAGCAGTTGTACTGTGCAAAGAGTTCCTTTATCCTAAAGACGGCAGAATGATACACCAGATCCCCGCGGCAGGACTTGGCTGTCTTCCGGGTGCACACGGAATAGGCCCGCAAGGCGATGCAGTAATCCACGTCCGGCAGCATCTCCTCCGGCAAGGCATGGCTCGGCGACGTGGCGGCCACGTAGTCGGCGTTGCAGCGCTGGATCCGGCACTGTTGGCAATGCACTGCAAAGGGAAAAAGGGGAGGGGGGCGGTTCTGATCAGTAGCAAGGCACCGGATGGGTGTCCGTGGCCAGGCAACGGCAGAAGGCAAGGGACGTTTGCACTTTATAGACTAACTAAATCAGGGCTATACAGAGTAAAGCTATTGCAAAGCCAAAACGGCGTCATCAGAAGATGCCAAGCACACCCCGACCCCCATTCAATACACGCACTGCAACGAAATCTCCTTAAGCGGGGCTTTCAAGCAGAAGCTAAACTGCCCGTCACACAGACGCACATATCCTACTGGCTCCTATGACCCGAGTTACCACGCTCCTTTGCCCTTGAACTCACACTTGAAGGCAGTTTACCAACGGTGCCCACCACAGCACCCCTGAGATACCCACGGGAGCAGTCCAGCAGCCAGACCTTCCTAGCAGTTTTCTGTTGTTTAATTAAGCCCTCCTCTCAGAGCTGCAACAGGGCAAAAGAATAGCCTGGATGATCGATTTAAAAAAAAAAAAAAAAAAATCAAATTAAAAAACGGTCACTGGACTTTAGCAGCCAAATCACAAGATCGCCCGCTCCCCTTTGCCACCTCTATGCAAAAACCCAACCCCAAACCTGACTGCTGTTCCTTTTCATTCCCAATCAAGTGCCTCCCCTCGCCTGCAAAGCTGATGGGCACGCACGTTCGGTCAAACCCACAGCAATTTGCAATAGGTCTAGACTCCGGCTACTGTTCCCGCACGCATTCGGACACGGCGCTAACGCTTTCCTGCACGTCAGGCAACACGCGCTGCGCTACGCAGTTCGATGCCTTGGACCAGAACTCGGGCGCTCAAGTCCAAAGCACGCGCGTTATTAAACTCAAGGCAGGATTCTCCCCAGAGGGGAGATTTTAGCAATGCAGCAATTTTCGATCTAGCATGGAAACCGGGGCTGATTAGCTGCAGACCTGCCACGCGCAGGAGATGCTACCCGGCGAGTTTCTCACCGCCCTGCGTGACTGCGCGGAGGCGTAAAACGCATCCTGATCTTCCCCGCAATGCTTCCTCCCTCCATCGCCAGTCCTGGAGTTATTCTCTTTTGTCCTCGGTTTCAAAACCTAGCGCTAAAAGGAGCCGACTCCGCTCCGGCTTCCCCCGCGCAATCTGTTTTTCCAACGGTGGAAAAAAGACAAGCACCGCTCACAGCCCCGGCCAGGTTGTCAAAACTAGACATTCCTCACAGCGCCGCCGAGACGCATGCTTGGAGCAAAGAAACTTAATGCCCAGACATTCGCGGAGGTGCCCGCCCTGTCCTCTGGCCTCGGTGCCCCGCGAACGGGCGAGCCCCGGCTACTTCCAGCTTGAAGCTGGAACAGCACATCCCTGTTCTTCAACTGGGACAGGGGTGCTGGGCACAGACACCCACCGGCCGCAACGGGCACAGACAGCTGTGCCCTGCAGCACGAGACTGGGGGACGGGACGGGGGTGCGGAGAAGGCCGGGGCCCCCCGGGGCCTCCTGGCTGCGGGTGCCCAGCGCAGGGAGCGGCGAGGGCGCTGCTGCAGGCAGCAGAAAGGCGCCTCTGTGCTCCAGGCAGCCGCTGTGTTTTCTTTGGCAGGGGCTGCCCGGTTGCTCTTGGTAGGAAAACAAACCTCCCAGCAAAGGCTCCACCACCCCCAGCCCGCTACCCGCACAGCCCCCGAGGGGCCCCAGGATGCCCACCCACTGGAGTCACCTTAGGAGCTCCCCACCCTTGTACCCCAGGGATGCCCACCCCTTGGGGTCACCCCTAGGAGCCCCCCCCTTGCACCCTGGGGATGCCCACCCCTTGGGGTCACCTCTAGGAGCCCCCCCTTGCACCCTGGGGATGCCCACCCCTTGGGGTCACCTCTAGGAGCCCCCCCTTTGCACCCCGGGGATGCCCACCCCTTGGGGTCACCTCTAGGAGCCCCCCCTTTGCACCCCAGGGATGCCCACCCCTTGGGGTCACCTCTAGGAGCCCCCCCTTTGCACCCCGGGGATGCCCACCCCTTGGGGTCACCTCTAGGAGCCCCCCCTTTGCACCCCAGGGATGCCCACCCCTTGGGGTCACCTCTAGGAGCCCCCCCTTTGCACCCCGGGGATGCCCACCCCTTGGGGTCACCTCTAGGAGCCCCCCCTTTGCACCCCAGGGATGCCCACCCCTTGGGGTCACCTCTAGGAGCCCCCCCTTTGCACCCCGGGGATGCCCACCCCTTGGGGTCACCTCTAGGAGCCCCCCCTTTGCACCCCAGGGATGCCCACCCCTTGGGGTCACCTCTAGGAGCCCCCCCTTTGCACCCCGGGGATGCCCACCCCTTGGGGTCACCTCTAGGAGCCCCCCCTTTGCACCCCAGGGATGCCCACCCCTTGGGGTCACCTCTAGGAGCCCCCCCTTTGCACCCCGGGGATGCCCACCCCTTGGGGTCACCTCTAGGAGCCCCCCCTTTGCACCCCAGGGATGCCCACCCCTTGGGGTCACCTCTAGGAGCCCCCCCTTTGCACCCCGGGGATGCCCACCCCTTGGGGTCACCTCTAGGAGCCCCCCCTTTGCACCCCAGGGATGCCCACCCCTTGGGGTCACCTCTAGGAGCCCCCCCTTTGCACCCCGGGGATGCCCACCCCTTGGGGTCACCTCTAGGAGCCCCCCCTTTGCACCCCAGGGATGCCCACCCCTTGGGGTCACCTCTAGGAGCCCCCCCCTTGCACCCAGGGGAAGACCACCCCTTGGGGTCACCTCTAAGACCCCCACAC